CACTCCTGCTTCCAAGCTTTTGGCAGCTCTACCAAACACTGTCCACCATGGGTAATCATTATCACTTTTGGCACATCAGATTAAATAAAAAGAGGATAGATTTTTGCATGTGATTTTTTTTAAGGGCCTGAATACTATTCCAAACTACTTTTCTAGTCACAACTGCTGAGGATTTGGTTTGTCTGTTTTTTTTTCAATGAGGAATAACTATAATAATAGAAAAATTAAGCAATTTTTTCCAGCAGAAAAATGATTATCTGTCATAATGCATATGAAGATAATAGCTTATTTCAATATTGGACAATTTCAAATGAACCATTTTCTGATAGAAATTGAATTATTCTATTTTTGCACATATATTCTGTGTTATCTGTGGGAATAAAAAAATCTATCATTTTTTTATTTTGTTTATTCTGCTACTGACTAAATCTTTTTTATTATAGTATGCTAAACTCTAATATCTACATTTATAATACATTCAAAAAGTTTTGCTTTACATTTCTAAAGTCAGATAGATATAGAAAAAGTTTTAGAGGTGGCACTACAGATATCAGTTTAAAAAGTAATGGGCTTAAATGAGCATAATCTTAGCACAGGATGGTACTAAAGCTTCATTTATACATTTTCATTGCAAGTAGATAGCTAATACATATGTGAAAGACTGCTGACCTAATTTCAATATATTGCATACCTTATTACCTAAGTAAACTTCAAAAATTCTCAAAAAGCAATTTATAGAAAAGATAAGCGTGTTTTCCTTAAGGTGACACTTTTCATTTTAAAGCCTAAAATCCCAGAACAATTTTACTGCAAAACCACATGTAAGGTTTAGTTGATACAGTGTTTTCCTAGGTGAACTCAGTCCATGAGGATAAATACTGTAAAAATAGAAGGATAACTAGTACAATGTGTAGGGGGACACAAGAGGGAAAAGGGTGGGAGCAGAAGGGTAAAGGTGGGGAGGTGGGGAATTACAGTCTCACAATTCGGTGTGTGGAGGCAGGGGTTTAAAAAAAATAGGGAAATTCCTGCAGGGACCTAAAAGAGATGGTGTAATTGTGGGAATGGCTCGATGGTGATTAACTTTATAAAACAAAATGTATGAAAATGATTATTTTAGGGATAACATCAATGAAGGAAAATATTAAAAGCACACCAAAGTATTCTTACTATGGACATGAATGAAACACAATGTATATGAATAATTACATCCACACCAATAAAAAAAATTAAAGTTATGATTCTAGTGTGACAAAATATATCTTGAAAATAAAAAGACAAATTAACAAAAATGTGATGATTTACATTGAACTTTTTTATAGACATTGTTTCATTCATGTATATTATGTTTTATATACAATTATGTACATACATAAATCATTCATTTATATGGTTTTTCTCAATTAGTTTGCATTAGATTAGATGGGAGCAATTCACACAGTCCCTGAACCAAAATGAATTGGGCGACACTGAAATACTTCAGGAACTAAAAATCTTATAGCTACTCTGGGATATTTCAAGTCCTTCAAACGTACCGAGATGTGTTTATACTTATTTTTTGCAAAACTTTCTGTTTTGGATTTTCCCCATATCTCCTTATCATCCTAACTAGCTAGCATGTGGCAGCTCTAAATATCCTAAAGCTTCTTAGCATCCACAACACCTTGTCTTAAGAGAGCTCAGAAGATAGGAGCTTATCTGATTTTTAAAACAACCTTAAAAAGATGAAAACTAAAACTTTTCAAAATAAAGCACCTGGAGTGAAAAGAATTATTTTATTATGTAAAATACAAGACTGAAAGAGAATTTTAATACTTTAAATGGACTTCAAATAAATACATAACATTTATATAAATGAAAGGAGTAACAGTACAAGTGGTGTTCAGAATTTGTTAATTTAGAAATTTTTACTAACATTTTTAATAGAAAAAAATAGCTAAACAAGATATTACTATGGAAACAACTGAATCTAGAGGTCTTTTATATGTTTATTTTTAGAAAGTTTTAATTAACTTATTAACTAATTTAAGATGTAAATAGTATTTTATACCAGTGATCCCCTTTGGTTAATTTCCACAAACCTTAAAATGTACCAAAGAACTATTCAGAAAAAATATTTTTCTCCCAACAGAAGTTACCACACAATGAATCATTACACCTACTGGGTGTGAAAAACCTATGAACTTCGGTCCAGTCACTCCAGACTCCTGGGCCATGCCGTCTTATAGCCTTAACCTTCATCTCGTATAGGGTCCAAGGAAACAGCTCTAGTTCCAAGAATGTAGTTAAGACCGTCTCAGCACCCTGATAAATGCCAAATGATAAATGTTAATTTTAAAGCATCAGACCCCCAAGTTAATGTTAACTATAGACTGAACTGTTTACTATTAACATAAGAATTTTGTTACCTTGAATTGATGACAAAGACATACATTTATTATTTTTCTATAAAAGAAAGAATAACTAATCCCATTTGGGAGTACTTGTTTCATGGTTATGTTATTGAGGCCATATCAATATCAGGTGTTCATTAACCCAAGTAACAAAACGATCACATTAAGTATAGAGAAGAAAGTAGAGATGAGGAAGATGGATGTCAGACTACATTAAGTTCACCAATGAACCTAATTATAGATACTGAAAAGAAACAAGAAACTTCCACCAGTCAATAGAGGGTCAAAGCTTTTCCCTAAAGCCTATGTCCTGAATTTGAACTTGTAGTTGCAAATTATTGTTTATTGATGAGTATAGTAATTTGTACATACATCATGCTTGGGAGGGTGGAGGGAGGGCGCAGGAGGGGAAGGCCCTCTATGAGATGGATTGATTTGGTGACTGGGGTAATCGGGATGGGAGTGTCAGAGACAGTGCGATTGGTACAGGACAGAGCAGAGTTTAGGGCTGTTGTACATAGGGTTGCTATGAGTCGCAAGCGACACGATGGCACATAATAACAACAACAACATAGTAATTTAAGTTTGCTAAAGCTATCCACTTACTGTTTCTAGGTGCCGTCAGTGCACTTCAAGTCATGGTGATCCTGTGAACAAGAGATTTGAACCTTGTCCTACCTTGTATCATCCTCATAATCTCTGACACGCTCCAGACAATTGATACAAACATTGTGCCTTCTCTTTATCTGACCCGTCACCTTTCCCATCATGTCTACTTTTTACAAGGACAGACCCTCTGGACAACATGCCTAAAGTGTGTGAGGTCACCACCCTTGACTCTAGGAAGCCCCCTAGTTGCACTTCTTTGTGGGCACAGCTACACTCGTGGTTCTGTCTTTCTCTTAAAATCACCAGATAATTAGGATAGGGTTCTTTATCAAAATTTATCATAAGCAAGTCTCAATAAATTTAAAGGGATTTTAGAATATTGGGAGTGTAGTGGAATTACTCCATAGTGAAATTAAACCCAAACCAATTAAAAAAATTGCAAATTTATCAATTAACTAGCTGATATTCCCAAGTAACAAAATCACAATGACAATATAAATGAAAATATTTTAACTGAATGGTAAGAATTGTATGGCCTCTCCATATTTGAAGGTTATAACTATCGTCAGTGAGAATTTTGCAGTTTCTGACACAATCTATAATATAGAGTGAAAAAAATGGTCAGAAGTACACAGAGATATAACAATGTATAATCCTAGGTGATTAAAACCATGTGCCTTTTGGTTGGCAGTATATTGCCTTACCATTAAACCAGAGATCCACAGAGGAAAGTACAGATAATGATCAATAG